ACAAAATATATGTAACTCTGAACAAGGAGATCCAGCTGGATCAACTTATGCAAAAAAAGTCATATGTTACTGAGCAAACTTGAGCTTACGGTAGCCTTGAAGGTGGCACCCGTCAAATTTCTATTCTGAAAATAATTCAGCCAATCAGGCAGCACTTAAGGAAGAGATGCAGCACCTCAAAAATATGACTCCATTTCACCGCTGAATTCCATTATGATCTATTTTTGAGTGATCAACAACAACCTCGAACATTCGAATGAACCAGAAGAATTTGAACATTCTCATTAACTGGTCTACTGTGAGAAATTATATGTAACTTCGTCTGCATGTCTAGAATAAATATCGATATTAATCCCCGCAAAACATATTCACTGACATCGTAAATGAATGTTTTTGACGAAAATTTTCATTTTACATTCATTTCCTTCAATCAAAGTTTTCACTTACGCAAACTGTTCATTGAATCGAGTTGAATCAGCAAGACAACAGGCGATTTTCAGAAAATTTTATAACAAATATAGAATCTTTGGTACAATCAATACGTGATAATAGTAGAGTTAGAACATCAACTATAAAAATAAACACAAAACATCAACAACAGTGACACACGAATTGAGTTCAGTTAAATGAACTAATACGACCCTGTGAGTGATACATATACATAAGGATATAAACGGATATATATGATGAACGAAAATCCTGCACGGATTTTTTAAAATCATATTACGCAGTTTGAAATTATACCATATCAATCAACACATTCTCTCAAATTTTGCACCGGGTATAGCGTCACACTTTCTTAAAATAACAATCGATAAACACATAACAATTTCACAATACTAGTTCGTGTGAACAGAAATCAAATCATCACACTGATTCTTTATTATCTGCCAAAGAAAGATCACAATTTCGCCGATTCACCAATGCTATTAGCGAGCGATTGAGTTGGTGCCTTCAAATATCTCAGCAACGAACAAAGAGCCTGCGGTGTTACACCAGGTATCCTGAAATGGAACTGACGTTTCTACTAGATTAGATTAATAATCGATTACGTTTAATTATTAACAGTATTATAATTTTCCAAGCGAAATACAAATAAACGAATATGACAAACCTTGAAGCAGCGGCAAGATTCTGTGGTCGCCAAATTTCAAATTTCTCTTTGCACTCAAATGATAGACCTTCAATAGTGGCGTAATTGATATCCTGCGGGATCAGAGTGGCACATTCACGACGCACTTCATCCATCTGAAGTTCATACTGATACTTTTAAAACTAGACCATAAAACAGACCCACTCAAATAATGCTTATCTTCAATTAACCCAGTTGCAAGCTCGTTCCTTACAACTCAGGCTAACACACAATCTAACTCGACTTCCCTTAGCTGCTTCGACATATACTGACCGAAATCCGAATCGTTTCAGTATAAGTGGTCAAAAACAATAACCTTAGCCGTAAGACGTTGATGTTGCTGCATATAG